CTATTCAATCTATAACAGTGAAAAAAGTTTTTTTGTTTTAAATCCAAGCTATTGTGACACCAGATCTAAGTGGTGGCACTGGTCACCGTATCCACTGTTAGCGTAATACACCCGCTTTAAGGACACTGACTGCTATTCAATCTATAACAGTGAAAAAAGTTTTTTGTTTTTAAATCCAAGCTTTGTGTCACCAGATCTAGGTGGTGCACTGGTCACCGTATCCACTGTTAGCGTAACACACCCGCTTTAAGGACACTGACTGCTATTCAATCTATAACAGTGAAAAAAGTGTTTTGTTTTTAAAATCCAAGCTATTGTGACACCAGATCTAATTGGTGGCACTGGTCAGCGTATCCACTGTTAGCGTAACACACCCGCTTTAAGGACACTGACTGCTATTCAATCTATAACAGTGAAAAAAGTTTTTTGTTTTTAAATCAAAGCTTTGTGTCACTAGATCTAAGTGGTGGCACTGGTCACCGTATCCACTGTTAGCGTAACACACCCGCTTTAAGGACACTGACTGCTATTCAATCTATAACAGTGAAAAAAGGTTTTGTTTTTAAATGCAAGCTATTATGACACAAGTGAGTGGTGGCACTGGGCACCGTATCCACTGTTAGCGTAACACACCCGCTTTAAGGACACTGACTGCTATTCAATCTATACCAGTGAAAAAAGTGTTTTTTTTTTTAAATCCAAGCTATTGTGACACCAGATATAAGTGGTGGCACTGGTCACCGTATCCACTGTTAGCGTAACACACCTGCTTGAAGATAACTAACTGCTATTCAATCTATAACAGTGAAAAAAGAGTTGTTTTTTTTTAAATCCAAGCTATTGTGACACCAGATCTAATTGGTGGCACTGGTCACCGTATCCACTGTTAACGTAACACACCCGCTTTAAGGACACTGACTGCTATTCAATCTATAACAGTGAAAAAAGTATATTTTTTTTAAATCCAAGCTTTTGTGACACCAGATCTAATTGGTGGCACTGGTCACCGTATCCACTGTTAGCGTAACACACCCGCTTTAAGGACACTGACTGCTATTCAATCTACAACAGTGAAAAAAGATTATTTTTTTTTTAAATCCAAGCTATTGTGACACCAGATCTAATTAGTGGCACTGGTCAGCGTATCCACTGTTAGCGTAACACACCCGCTTTAAGGACACTGACTGCTATTCAATCTATAACAGTGAAAAAGTTTTTTGTTTTTAAATCCAAGCTATTGTGACACCAGATGTAATTGGTGGCACTGACTGGGGAAATGGGCACAGTATGCACTGTGAGCCTGACACAGAAGCTGGCAGCAGTGGCAGACAACTAAGTGCAATTACATTACATAGAAAAAAATAATTAAAAAAAAGCATACCCTTATCCCTAACCTAGCTATGCTTTTCCCTATCTTATGAACAGCAGCTACACTTTCCCTCCTCTTACTAAGCATGCAGCTTGAGAATGAATCTAAAATGGATGCTGTCCAGTAGGTGGGAGGGTCTGCTAGGGAGGGTGTGCTGCTAATTGGCTGGAATGTGTCTGCTGACTGTGAGGTACAGGGTCAAAGTTTACTCAATGATGACGAATAGGGGGCGGGTCGAACCGCGCATATGTTCGACCGCCGTGGCGAACGCGAACATGCTATGTTCGCCAGGAACCGTTCGCCGGCGAACCGTTCGGTACATCACTAATGATCACCAGTTACTATGTACCCAGAATATGATCACCAGTTATTATATACCCAGAATATGATCACCAGTTATTATATACCCTGTCAGGGAGCCGCGGGCGGCGAGGAGGGGAGGCTACACGCCACTTGCAGCACTCACCCTCAGTCCATCGCCGTCCTCTGTGCCGCTCGCCGCCAGCGTCCTCCACGCCCCCCAGCGGCAGCATGTATAACGCTGCACGCTGGGAGGTCCAGGAATTAAGTAAACGCCGGGGTCACGTGAGTGACCCGGCGTTAAAGAAACAGTACCACAATCACAGTGGGGGGTATAGATATCCCCCACGTGTGATTGTTAATTCTGATTGGAAGTTATCCAATCAGAATTAAACCTAGGGTATTTATACTTACCTTTCCTGTCCCTCAGTGCCCTGTTGTGGTCTTGTGATACCTGTAGCGTAGTGTTCTTGAGTTTCTCTCTGGTTACCGATTATTTGGCTCGTTATTCCGATTATCCTGTCTTCTCCACTCCTTTGACCTCGGCTTGTTTCTCGTTCTCCCGTTTTCTGGCTCCCTTTACTTGGCTTGTCTCCTGACTATTCTTAAGCGTGCTTAGCCCGGCCACTCTAAGGTCCGGTACGGCACCTTTTCTGTGTGTGTGTGTGTGTGTGCCAGCGTGTTGGGTTCCACGAATCGTGACATACCCATAATGAGATCACCAGTTATTATATACCCAGAATAAGATCACTAGTTATTATATACCCAGAATATGATCACCAGTTATTATATACCCAGAATAAGATCACTCGTTATTATATACCCAGAATAAGATCAAAAATTATTATATACCCAGAATATGATCACCAGTTATTATATACCTAGAATAAGATCACCAATTATTATATACCCAGAATATGATCACCAGTTATTATATACCCAGAATAAGATCACCAATTATTATATACCCAGAATAAGATCACCAGTTATTATATACCCATAATGAGATAACTAGTTATTATATACCCAGAATAAGATCGCCAGTTATTATATACCCAGAATAAGATCACCAGTTATTATATACCTAGAATGAGATCACCAGTTATTATATACCCAGAATAAGATCACCAGTTACTATGTACCCAGAATAAGATCACCAGTTATTATATACCCAGAATAAGATCACCAATTATAATATACCCAGAATGAGATTACCAGTTATTATATACCCAGAATAAAATC